GAGCCCTCCTTGTAATCTTTAAAGTCAGTGATGACCTCAAAGAGCTTTTGTTCATGTGGGTTGAATTTGTCCATGCTGACCACATTAGAAACAGAAAACAGACATAGTTCAAACATGAGAATATACAAACATATTCATTGGCCACCAGAGTGAGGACCTCTGCTCAGGTTGTTTAGCCTCTGGAAAACACAACTGTATGTTCATGAAAGAAATAATGTAAAAAAGGCAAATAATGCCTTAGTATTAGTATAAAAATACTTTTGACCTCATAGATCCCATGAAAGGGATGCTCAGGGGTACCATGGCCACAATTTGAGAACCACTGCTCTATTGCTTATTCAGCATCCCTGCCCTGGGCATCCCAGGGCGCCCTGCCCTCTGGGTGGTAAACTCCACGACGGCAGCAACTGCTGTTATTGTATTTTCACTGCCAGCCCAGAGCTGGCACACAGTAGGGGCACCCTCCATGGCACTGAAGAATGAATGCAGATCAGGTGGGAGACTCTAGGATGTTGGGATGATGGAGGCCTGGTCCCTGCCCTCTGGGAGTTCCCAATCTCCTCAGAGGACTGGATAGGACAGCAATGTCCAGATTTGAAATTAAACACTGACCCTGAATATAGGTAGAACATGCTGATTTTCAAAACCCACACACAGCCACACAAATCATCTCATATGACTGTACTTAAAAACCTGCAAGCTGCCCAGGGCAAACACTTTCACTCTTGGATGATAGATGAATGGAGGGTCAGGGGCACAATGAATTGTGTTGTTCAGAGTTACAGGCTTAGTGCTAGGGATACTATCAGTGTTCAATAAACACCTGATGCGTAAATGAGTGAATGGTGGAGGTAGAGGCAGCTGCCAAAAACTTCTATACTAGCTCAGGCCTTCATTGTACAGGCCTATATGTGCAGGCCATGTGTACAGGCCTATATGTGCAGAGCACAGCATATTCCCAGGAATTCCTGGGAATCAGCCTGGAGGAAATTTCTTTTTTCTTTTCTTTTTTTTTTTGAGACAGTCTCAAGGTCTTGGGCTTAAGCGATTCTCTTGCTTCAGCCTCCCAAGTAGTTGGGACTATAGGTACCTGCTACAACGCCCAGCTATTTTTTGGTTATAGTTGTCATTATTGTTTAGCAGGCTAGGGCTGGATTGGAACTTGCCAGCTCTAGTGTACGTGGCTGGCACCCTAGCTGCTGAGCTACAGGCACTGAGCCAGGAAATTTCAAAGTAAGAAACCAAGCCTTGTTTCTTGGAAAGGGCATGGCCAGTGGCATTGTGGATCTGCTGCCCAAGGGCAGCAGGACCTCAGGCAAGTCCATCTCGTCACCTTTCTGAGCCTCCTTGTCTATTGAATAGGGTTGCTATTTCCCTCCCAAGCTGTCTGTAAGGACAGGAACAGACAAGGCATATTAAGCATCAGGTGTGAGGAACTTGCAAGCACAGAATCAATAGGAGTCACCAATCTCTTGCCCTCCCTCCTTTATATCACACAACACACACAAAAACCAAACCCAAGAAGTAGAAAGAAGTTTGTACTCTAAAGAGACTCTTACTTTCTTTGGCAAAGGACCCCTTTGAATAATTGAAGCTCCTCATTCTGTGTGTGGAATGCCCTTTCCCTGGCCTGCTGTATCCTGGCAGGAGGAACATCCCATAAGTATCTGTGTTCAGGCTCGGCGCCTATAGCTCAACCGGCTAAGGTGCCAGCCACGTACACCTAAGGTGGCAGGTTCGAATCCCCAGCCCGGACCCGCCAAACAACAATGACGGCTGCAACCAAAAAATAGCCA